AACCAATCTCAAGTTTCTTGGTCTTCACTTATTTCTGTGGATATTGAAATAATTAGGTTATTTTCTCTAATCCATTTATGTTCTTTTTTTTTTACTCTTTTCAATTTTCTGACATTTGTACCCCCCTCTTTTTGCTATGTATATATATCTATTCCATCTTTCCATTTTTGCCTACATTGATACAAATATTTTCTCAAAGTCTTGTCCAGTTTATCAAATAATGGGCCAATGAAACTCAGAAATTGTATAATTAAAATGACTGTCAAGGCTTCTTCACATATCCACGTTTATTTTTAGTTCCTATATCCCTTTATGTGTAAGTTTATGATACCTTGTGTTTCCTCCTTAGTAGCACTCTGTCGCCATCTTTACATGAATGTCTTTATTACCAGCAGACATTAAGAATTGACTCCTAAGAATCACCATACCTTTAATGTTAAAAACTCCAGTTTTTTTTAATTAATTCATTTCTTACATTTCAATCCCAGTTCCTCTTCCCTCTTTCCCTTCTACTCCCTCTACTCCCCGCTCCTCCCATCTGCTCCACGGAGACTGTAAGTCCTCCCATTGGAAGTCTCCTAAGTCTGTCCCATCTTCTCATTGAGGCAGGACCAAAGCACCTCTCCACCCCCACTCCCTCCCACACACACACACCCCTGTGCCTAAGCTGAGCAAGTTATCTCTCCATATAGAATGGGTTTCACTAAGTCTGTGCATTAGTGTTAGATCTTGGACCCACTGCCAGTGTCCTTATATATTGTCCCATTCACACCGTTGTCAACGTATATTAAGGAAGTGCTATGCAGGTTCTCCAAAAAGTCCAGTTCTATTTAAGCATATCTTCTCTGCTTTGTGTGTAATTACTGCTTTAAATATGTATGTGTAATTTCTAAACTACCATGAGTACCGAAACCACAGCAGTGTTTCTAATTGAAAGTTCTATGAAGAATTTCATCTATATTTCTTGGTTATTTCATTCTATCTTCATTCTAAATTGAAATGAGAAATGATGGAAACGTACTGATTTCTACTTGTGTGTATCCATTGTTTTTGAGACAGTATCAGATTTTCTTGAACTTAAATCCATATAAACACTTGTTCTGTGAGGAATGAAGTCTTTGCATATCTTTGTTGGCAAATCTTACTTCACCACAAGTGAAACTGGGTAATGTTTCTCCCATGCTAGATACAATAATAAGGTTGTAACTCCACTTAGAAAATGACAATGAGTTGGAAGAACAAAAAAAGGGGGGGGGTAGATACAGAAAATGTCTGTTCATTTGTTAAAGAACTGAAAATGAAGCTGGACACCTGTTTCCACTTATTCTGTTGGTACATCTGATATTATTGGTGTGGTTTAGATCATCACCCCGTTCCTTGAAAGAGTCAGTACATTAAAAAGATCCATTTCAGATGTCTTTCATCCTATCTTGGAAGTACATTCCTGACCTGACTGAGTATACTTGTTTTTGAAGGACATCTTAATTGTATTCACTTTACATTTAAGGTAAATAATAACTATAGACAGTTATAGCTCTCTAATTGGGTATAAGTGTCTTTTCTGCTTAAATTTCTATTTAAAATTGAATCACCACTTAAATGTGTTAGTTATATATTTAACATCTAAAATATGTTTCACAGTAATGTTTAATTTGTACCTCAGTGAACCACAAAACCATGGTTTCAATCAGTGACATTCTCTCACCAAGAAAAAAATATTACCGATATTAGCTACTAACATTTATTAGCCACACTGAATTCTGTAAGTGACATTACAGATCTTACTATCCCATTTTGGTAATTAACACAATGCTATGATATAGGGTGCTTTAATAAGCCAGAGTTAGGCATGTTTCTTTGCTTTGGTCCTGATCCTTAATTTATTTGCTAAAGACTGAAGGGTCAAACCCAAGTTGCTTTTGTCCATGATCCACATACTTAACACCACACTGCACTCCACTCTGCATTTCATTTGTCTTGTGTTTAGAAATATACATGTGTTGGGGTCTCTCCTGGAATAGACATGTTAGTTCTCTCTTCTTGCTCAAAATTTAAAACATTGCTTTCTAGTCTTACATCTGTTTACTTTACATCACTGAGCAGTATTTTTCAGGTATTCTCATCCTTACTGTAGCACTGTTTTTGAACCTATCTTAGGGATACAACTTTATTCTCTAAATATGCAATATTGATAAGAACAGCTCTTCTTGGGCTAGAGAGATGCCTCGGGTTAAGAGCACTGACTGCTCTTCCAGAGGACCCAGGTTCAACTCCTAGCACCCACATGACACCTCACAACCGTCTATAATAATGAGACCTGGTGTCCTCTTCTGGCATGCAGACAGAACACTGTATACATAATAAATAATAAATCTTAGAAGAAGAATGAGAAGGGAAGGAAAGAAAGAAAGAAAAGAAAGAAGAAATCAACTCTACTCTTTATGAACAGGGGATTTAAACACACTTTGAAAAATGAAATTTTTACTGCAATCTTCTATTAAATTCTAAGAATAGGCTGCTGGCCTCCATTACTTTCAGAACATGAAAAATGGCTCAGAAGCTAAGTGAGCTAAGCCATCTCTTTCTCAATTGTTTCAGTTTCTCAGGAATTGCTGTAAGGTGCTGCCAATAATGATCTCCGGGGATCTGACCCCCATTCCACCTCCCACTGCCTCCTCAGCAGCTCCAGATGCCACCAAAAGAAGGAGCTTTGAAGAAAGTGCCTGTACACTCTTTTACCCTGAGGTGGGTGAGGCCAGGCAGGGTGATTCTCAGGATATTCTGATGATCAAAGGTATAGTGGAAGCCTTCATGAAGATTTTCTTGAAGATTACCAGGACATTTTGGGGAAAGTTACCAAATAGCCTAGAAACTGAAGATGGCGCTCAAGAACAGACAGCACAAATGTCATCTGAAATGTAGCACATGATGACATGTGTCACCTTAACTAATTCCCAGAGGATTGGCCCATGTGCTCTTCATTGTGCCTTTTCTCCCACCTCTGCAGGCTCACCAAATAGCAGTCATGTAAAATATACCCTGTGATGTCAGTTTATGACTGACAGAAAACTAGTGAAAGTGCTCTTCAACTCCCTTTATTTCCTGCCACTTGATCTACTGTTTGCCCATTCATAAGGAATGACAGTGGAGCTCAGTGATATCTCAAGCTTTTTCTCCACTATTGTCTTCTGTCTTGCTACATGTCTGTATATGAAGTTTTCTGTATTAATACTTAATCGTCATTGATCCCTTGCTTTTTAATTCTTTTTTATCATACTGTTTAGCTCTGTAGTAGAATATCCGAGCCACACACCATGGGGATTTACCATACTGTTATTTTTCAAAATCCTTTTTTATACCTCTTTGGAATTCAAGACTAAACTGTCTTTGTTCTTGAGTAGATCTAACATCAGTCAGCAATGTGTTTTAGAAGTAGGGTGTTACAACATGAATTTTCCCAGTATCTGACTTCTCATTCTTGAATAGTGAGTCATACACATCTTACCTGCTCAGTATTGTCAATAGCCTACGAAAAAATAATTGCAGTGGTATGACTTAAGAAACTATGTAAGACAAGTTCCTACTTTTTCTCCCAGAGAAAGGGAAATCATAGAAACTTAGCTCCATTCATTTCTTCTGTTCCTGTCCTTCAGAGATTAACTCCTGTCAACATTAGAGAAGTAAATCCTAAAGGTAGTTCCAGATAGTCTCCTCTTCAAGCCTCTGGATTCTTTTGTGCCTCCAATTTTATTTATATATATATATATATATGTATATATATATATATATATACATATACATACATATATATATATGTATGTATATGTATATGTGAGTCATTTAGAGTGCTTCTAATTCTTTTGGCAAATACAAAATTGATGTTTAGTATGTATTTTCAACAGTTGGTGTTTTAGATTATTATGAAAGTATTAGAAACAGGAATATTTTTTGTAGGAAGATAATTTTTCCTGAACATCATTGTTTTCTCCTGAGCAAGAGATGTACTAAATTATGCTGCTTTGCTTTGGGGCTTTGCTAAAATTAGAAGACTTTTTTTTTTTTTTTTTTTTGTTCCTATAAACTAAGTAACCTTATGTGCATATACCATTAAAGATATATTTCACAAATAAATTTATAACCAGTTCTTTCATAATGTGAAAATTACTTTGCGAATTGGATAAGGTGATGGACTTCACCTGGTATTATGGCACACACCTTTAGTCCCATTACACAGAAGGCAGGGGCTGGTGGATCTCTGTTGAGTTCAAAACCAACCTGGTCTACAGAGCAAGTTCCAGGACAAGCAAGACTACACAGAGAAACCCTGTCTCAAAAAACAAAAGCAAAAAACAAACCAAAAAAAGATGATGTATTTGAGGTCTATTAAATGAGATACCTAAGTCTGATATGCCTTACCCAAGTCAATTATTTCTCAGTTATAAGTTTTGTTTGTTTGTGTGGGCATTGGTGGCACACACCTTTAATCCCAGCACTTTGGAGGCAGCGACAGGTGGGTCTCTGTGAGTTTGAGGTCAGCCTGGTCTACAGAGCTAACTAGTTCCAGGACAGCTAGGACTGTTACACAGAGAAATCCTGTCTAAAAAAACCAAAAAAAAGAAAAGAAAAGCTTCGTTTGTTGGTTTAAATGATGAGTTTTAATAAAAAAAAATAAGAGACAGTTTAGACTATCAATTTTTATCAGTAAATATTTGATAGTGATGGGTTATAAAACTAAATCAGGATTTATTTTTTTTCCTACCATTAGTTTTTTTTCCTCTCTCTCTCTCTGCTAATATACAAATTCCATGAGACCTGGGAAAATTCTATCAGCAACATCTGGCATGTTTTTTCCTGTGCTTATTTTCTTCTTATTTGAGCTACTTGTCATATTATTACAGGGAATGGCAGTGACAGCAGCTAAAATTCACTGTTCTATCATAGCATGATCTAGCAAACACTTCATGTAGTCTTGAATTGTCCTATGATTTCTTTCTTCCCAGGTTCCCAGTCAACTTCAGATAAACCTCAGCGCTCATCAGAAAGCACAAATTGTAGCCCTACCCATAAAAGGTCTTCATCTGAGAGTACTTCAACAGGTAAGTGCTATTGTTTTACTAGATATTCAGTTTCCAATCTGTTAGTTGAGATTAATGAATTTATGTAAAGCAAACAAAAGTGGTCTTGTCATCTCAGTATCACTGATAATGTATCTTGGAAAAACTCAGTAGTTTTTCTTTCAAGAAATTGGAATGTGAGAATACTGGAACAATAGCTCAGCAGTTATGAATATGCACTATTGTTGCAGAGGACCCATGCTTCAGTCCTAGCATGAGAGGGATTTAGATTTAAATAGATGATGAGAAATATGCATTAAAAGGTAGTTCTGAGTCTGGGCAAATGGCTCAGTGATTAAGAGCACTTGTTCTTGCAGAGAACCTGAGTGTGATTCCCAGCACCCCTGTGGCACTTCACCATAACTACAACTGGCCAGAAGGCCCAAGATAGAGATAAACATACAAGTAAAGACAGACATAAAATGAATAAACCTTAAAAATTATTTTTAAGCCAGGCAATGGTGGTGCATACCTTTAATCCCAGCATTTGGGAGGCAGAGGCAGAAAGATCTCTGTGACTTTGAGGCCAGCCTAGTCTACAGAGTGAGTGCCAGGACAACCAGGGCCACACAGAGAAACCCTGTCTCAAAAAAGAAAAAAAGAAGGCAGTCCTCTAGGCTCCAGGGTTCCGTCTGTGTCAGTATTGGTGAAGACAAGTTCCTCCTCTCACTGACCCAAGGGCCCTCACCATTTCATTCTTCCTACATGAGATCTGTGAGGGAAATTGTCTGATGGCCAAGATAGCCAATTGGACGAGCATAAGTTTCTCACCCTTTTAGATAGTTTAAATGAGAACGTCCCCTGGAGGCTATCTACTTGAATGTTTGGTTCCTGGCTGTTGGAACTATTTTGTCAGGGTTAGGAGGTATGGGCTTGTTGTAGGACATATGTCACTGGGGATAGGCTTTTAGGTTTCAAAACCTCACAACAGGGAGACAGAAGCAGCCAGATCTACGTAGTGAAACTCTGTCTCTAAGAAAAGAGTATTCATTCCTGTCAGGATTATAAACATATAGTATGGTTTAGTGAAACAGAAAGTCTGTAAATAGGGCTTTTGAGTTTGTCTTGTGAGTAAAGGTATATGTCTCCAAGCATGATGATCTAAATCACAACTTTAAAAGACCAGAAATTGTTACTCTGTATATACTTTAAAAATATTTTTATTATACTTATTTTATGTGTTTGTGTGGCAAGAGCACAGGATGGAGGTCAAAGGGCAGTTATGTCTTTCCACTTTGTGGGTGCCAGAGATAGAACTCAAATCATCAGGCCTGGCAGCAAGTGCTTTTACCCACTGAGCCATCTGGATGACCCTATACATTGACTTTTCATTCATTAGGGGTTGGGGTGTTGTTTGTTTTTAGGAATGGATTGGTTAATTGTTTTTCTAGGCTGGCCTAGAATCATTGTATAAAGCAGCCTAAACTAGAAATCAAAGAAATCTTGTCTTAGAAGTACTGGGGTTGCAGCGTGAGCCACCGCTCCTGTCCTTTCAGTTCATCCTTTGCAGAAATGATTCTGACATTATGACTGTCTTTTTAACAAAAATGCAAAACACCTACATGGCTTTATGAACAGAGAGGACCATTGACTGTAGATCTTGGAAATTTTAACTTGAAATAGGTTTCGGTGAACTTTCAAAAACCATAATAAAACTTGACTACATAGGCAAAAATCTCCATTACCTTCAGATAGACAAAGATTTCTGAGCCAGGCTTGTGATCCTAGCACTCTGGAGACTGAGGTAGGAGGTTCACTGTGAGTTTAAGACCACCCTAGAGTACAAGGAGTTCCAGTTCTTTGCATAGCATTATGATATATGCCTATAATCCCAGTAGTTGAGATAGGAGAGTCAGAAATTCAAGGCAGACTCAGCTATATAATATTTTAATTTAAAGCCATCCTTTACTACATGAGTCCCTATCTCAATTAAAAGAAGAAGGAGGAAGAGGAGAAGAAAAACATTATTTTAGTGGGTCATGGATATGATTCATGCCAAAATTTCAGTTCTTGGGTGGCTGAGCTTTTACTCTCTGATACTCCAGAGGCTGACACATGCCTTACCTACACAAGACCTTAGGCTTAAACCTGATTAATTGGGGAAAAATAATGAAAGAAATAACATTCTGGCTCAGGGGTTAAGAGCATTAGCTGCTCTTATAGAGGTTCTGAGTTCAATTCCCAACAGCCATATGGTGGGCTCACAATCATGTAATGAAATATGGTGCCCTCTTTTGGCCTACAGGCAGAACACAACATACATAGTAAATAAATCTTTAAAAAAAAAAAAAAAAAAAAAGGCAAAATTTTGTTGTTGGGTAAGGTTGGTATTACTACCACTAGAGAGATTGAGGCCCACAGTTCTATCAGTTGGGAGGTAGATGCAGGAGATCAAGGCCAGCCTGAGCTACATAAGACCTTCAAACAAGTAACTGAGTCTTAGGAAGCTGAGAGTGTGTTGGCAAAAAAAAAAGTAGTACAAGCTAGCCAAAGCAAGAGGGAGAGAACAAAGCAAAGCAGAAGTCAAGCTGGTTGGCAGATTAGAGCAAAGTGAGCTGGCCTTTGACCCAAAACTCGGAAGAGGCAGGTGAGTCTCTGTCAGTTAAGGGACAGCCTGGGATATTACAGAGTCAGTCTCAATTTATAAAAAAGAAAAAGGGAAAGGTTTGCATATAAACAAGGAAAGTAAGGAAGAACAAGATAGTTCACTGGATAAAAGCACATGCCACCAAGCTTAACAACTTAAAGTGTGATCTCAGATTCCACATAATAAAAAGAAAACCAGCTCCTGTAAATTGTCCTCTGACATCTTCATACGTGAACTATGGTACAAATGCCCCCCCCCCCACACACAGTAAATTTTATGTCCCAATCAATTTGTTTGTTTTTGATTTTTGAGACATAGTTTCTTTGTGTGGCCCTAGCTGTCCTGAAACTCACTCTGTAAACCAGGCTGGCCTCAAACTCAGAGATCTTCCTGCCTCTGCCTCTGAGTGCTGGCATTAAAGGTGTGTGCCACCACTGCCTGACTAATCAGTTTTTTAAAAAGAAGCTAGAAAAGGGGACTAGAGAACTGGCTCAGCAGTAAGAGTACTTGCAGTCTTAAAGAGGACCTTGATTCTGTTGCCAGCATCCACATAGTTTACAGCCATCTGTACCCCCCCCCAGTTACTGGGGATCCAGCCCCCATCTTTTGGCCTCCAAAGGAATGGCACGTATTTGGTACACTTAAATATATGCAGGCAAAAAATCTTGTATGCAGGAGAGATGGTTTGGTGGTTAAGAGCACTTGTTCTTATAGAGACCCCAATACTTCTTTCTCTTGAAGAGAACCCAGGTGCACAGAACACACATGAATCCAGTTCCAGGCCTTCTTCTGAACTACATATGCATCAAGCACAGACACACAGACACAGACACAGACACACACACACACACACACACACACACACACACACACACACACACCCCACATACAAAAATGGATAAATCTAAAAAAGATAAATAAGGACAAAAAACAACTGGAACAGCTGAGAGGGAGAAAACTCATGTAAAAATCAGATAAAGTTAAAAATTGCCAATTAAAAACAAACTGTTTGCTAATTTATCATGTGAATACACATGTGAGTGAGGGTCAAGAGGACAGCTCACAGAAGACTCAGGTCCTCAGACTCAACCACAAGTACCTCCATGCACTGAGCTGTCTTGCAAACCCCAAATTGTAGAGGCCATTTCTGGGAACAGAGAAGGTACAGAAGTTTGACAAAACATGGAACTTATAAGATGAGATAGTAATTTGGTAGGAGGAACATATATGTAATTACAGCTATAATATAAAGGGCTAACTAGCCCTCTGACTGAAGTCTGTCTTACAGTTCCACTGCAGAGGACAACCAGTAGCATCCTTGTACTAAGATAAGGTCATAATCATTGAGTTTAGTTGTGTACCCCCTGTATTAGTCAGACTTCTCTAGAGGAACAGAACTGATAGAATGAGAGAGAGAGAAAGGGGGAGAGAGAGAGAGGGAGAGAGAGAGAACATGCGCATGTGAGTGTGCGTGCACACTACATGTGTGACTACATGAAAGCCATGGCCAGAGCACAACTTTGAGAAACTAGTTTTCACAGTGTGCATTCTGGAGTGAGGGTCAGGGGCTGCTCTAATAACCTAAAAAGCTAATCCCCCCATCAGCCCTCAATAAGCCAATTAAAGGCACAATAGTAGAAAGTAGAAAAGGGAAGTTTATTCAATGTGGCCACATTGGATAGAAAAACAGAGATCCAGTTTTATACCTCATCCCTCCCCCCAACCTTGTTCATTTTGAGGATTTTAACATGAAGTTACTGGGAATGGCATTTTCTGATGAGATAGATGTTTCTCTAATTCCTAGTACTTAAAAGGGAAATATCTGGAATTGGGCTAGAGAGATGGCTCAGTGGTTAAAAGCACTTGTTGCCTTTCCAAAGGACCTGGATTTTCTTTCTAGCATTCCATATCTTCCTCTGCCCTCAGAGAGCATCTGTTTCTCTGTAATGTAGACACATAAGTAAAAGTAAAATAAATCTTAAAAAAACAAAACTGGAATAACATTTTTTTTCCTGTGTTTGTTTTTCAAAAGGGACTCATGTAGTCCAGATTTGACTCAAACTTAGTATGTGGCCAAAGTCACCTTACACCTCTGATCCTCCAAATGTTCCTCTCCCAAGTGCTAGGTTTGGCCCAAAGTTTGATACATGCTATTGTTACATACTAGGCAAACATTCTACAGAGTGGACTCTAGTTCTAATACCATTTTCTTAATTTTAAAAGTGTGTGTGTGTGTGTGTGTGTGTGTGTGTGTGTGTGTGTGTGTGTAGGTATGTAGGTAGGTAGATGTGTAGGCTACTATCAGAGGACAACTTTGAGACGTTAGTTCTCTCCTTCCACTGTGGGCCCTAGGGTTGGAACTCAGTTATCAGCAACTGCTTTTATCCCAAGCCATCTTGCCAGTGCTAATTTCAATGTTTTTGGATAGAGTTTTGCTATGCCTGATGGTCTTAGTCCCCATTATGTAGCTCTGTCTTGCTTTAAATTTCTGGTAATCTTCCTGGCTTAGCATCCTATATGCTGAAGTTATATATTTATAAACCACCATGTATGTCAGTTAGTATCACATTTTAAAAACATGTAGATAAATCCATTGGTTAAAAAACTATGACCTATAGCAAAGAAGTGGTGGCACCCTCCTTTAATCCCAGCACTTGGGAGGCAGAGGCAAGTGGATCTCTGTGAGTTCTAGGCCAGTCAGTCTACAAAGCTACACAAAGCAACCCTGTCTTGACAAGCAAACAAACAAAAAACTATCACCTGAGCTAGGTGTGGTAGTGCATGCCTTTAATCCTAGCACTTGATAGGCAGAGGCAGGCAGATCTCTGAGTTCAAGGCTAGCCTGGAGTACAAAGCAAGTTGCAAGACAGCTAGGGCTGTTAAACAGAGAAACCCTGTCACCAAATAAATAAACAAACAAACAAACAAAATGCCAACAACTAACTGTGGATATTAGTAGCAAATTATGAGTTTAAGGGACTGTGTTAATCCTGTGATTAAAAAGGCCTTAGAAGAAGAACCTTAAGAGATACATGATTTATTCTAGCTCACAGTTGAAAGTACAGTCCATCTTGGTCAAGGCAACAGGAGCTTGAAACAGCTTGTCACATCATACCCACAATCAAGAAATAATCAGGGAGAAATGTAAGCTGCTTCTCAGTTCTCTGTCTCAAGGTATACAGTTCAGGGTCCCATTTAGAAGAAGGATGTCACTTACCTCGGTGTTTCTTCCCAACTTAATTAGCTTAATGAAGATTGGGCTGAAGAGATGGTTCAGCAGGTGGATCCAAACACAAGCTGTACAGGCCTGACAGCCTAGAGTTCAACCCCTCCAAATTCATGTCAGAGAGGAATGAGCACTGAAGACAGAGCATTGTCCCCTGACCTCCATACATGCACAATTCCATGTATCCACCCACACACATGTACACACAAGGTAAAAGCAATAATTCTTTTAGAAAAATAATCTCTTACAGGCTTGTTCAGAACCCCATCTCCCAGGTAATTCTGTATTTTGTCAGGTTAATAATTAACACTCACCTAACCCCATCACACCACCATCCCTTGTCAACTTGACATTCAGACACATTACTTATAAGCTATAACTTTCCATCCTTTGTCCCCACACTTTCAAGATATAAAATGCATTCAGTCCAGCTTTTAAATTTTCCAACACTTTAAAAGTCCTTAGTCATGGAGATAGAAAATGGCTCAGGTGTTCACAACACTTAACTCTTCTTGTAAAGAATATGTATTTGATTCCAATTAAAAATAATTAGATAGCCCATGAGAAACAGCACACAAGAGTAATACCCTCCCCCCCCACACACATACACAAATAAAAATTTGAATCTACATGAGCACATATACAAAAATAACACAAGCATGGTATATAAATCCCAGGACTTAAGAGGCTAATGGAAGAGGTTAACCATACCTAGTGAGTTCAAGGCCAGCCTGGGTTACAGTTTAACACCCTGCTTGAAAAAGCAGGTAGAAAGAAGGAAAGGAATCCATCTTGCTTAGGATTTAGCTGAATGGTAAACAGCTTGCCTAATACGGCAAATCTCTGTATTTGATCCCCAGTATTCAAAAAGAAAGACAAGTTTAGCTTTTTATCCAGTCTTTAATTGTATATCCTTTACACTTTTTTTTATCTTTTGTCAGTATAGGAAGTTATTTAGCCAGGCATGGTGGTATACACCTATACTTGCAGCACTTGGGAGAGGATTAGGAATTCAAGATAATCCTCTAATAACCAATGATAACAACAACAACAACAACCCTTTAATAATCTCAGAAGTAGTCGATTCAAGGCCATCCTGAGCTACAAAAGACCCATCTTAAAATAAAAGAAGGGGCTGGGAGATAACTTAGTTAAACGCTTTTACCAATCTCCAGAATACCTAGGTTAATTTCCTAGCACCCATATCCAGGAACTCACCAATTTCAGGGGATCTGATTCCCTCTTCCTGCCTCTGTTGGCACCTGTGTGCATATGCCATACATACACATATACATAAATTGAAAAATAATGATTTAATTAATGAAATTAAAAGCTAATTGGTTACCTATAATCAATCCTACCACTCAGAAGCCAGAGGCAGGGAGGATCAATCATCACAACCTCAAGTCCAGCCTGATTTGCCTATTGATTTCTAAGCCAGTAAAGATTTCATAGCATAACCATTTTTCCAAAGGCTAAGAAACAAACAAAGAGATAAGGCAGTTTAAGTAACTGAGTGGTCTTTTTTTTTTTTTGGTCTGTGTGTGATGTGATGTGTTGTCTCTTTTAGTGAATGGAATTCCCTCCAGAAGTCCCAGATTGGTTGCTTCTATTGCTTCTATGGATGATTCTGTAGACAGTCTGTTGCATCGGATAGTACAACATGATGAGCAAGAGTCCGTGGAGAAAAATACCGATGCCTCAATTACAACTGTGTCTGTACCACCTTCCTCCAGTCCAGGTCATAACTACAGCAAAGAGCGAGCCCTAGGTAAATCAGACAGTCTTCTAGTGCCTGCCGTCCCAAGTGACTCTGGTAATAACAATATCCCACTCCTTTCTGAAAAGTTAGCAAGTAGATGTTCCCCCCATCACATCAAGAGAAGTGTAGTTGAAGCTATGCAGCGCCAAGCTCGGAAAATGTGCAATTATGACAAAATCTTGGCCACCAAGAAAAATCTGGACCATGTCAATAAAATTTTAAAAGCCAAAAAACTTCAAAGGCAAGCCAGGACAGGGAACAATTTTGTGAAACGTAGACCGGGTCGACCTCGGAAATGTCCCCTACAAGCTGTGGTATCAATGCAAGCATTCCAGGCTGCCCAGCTTGTCAACCCAGAACTGAAGGAAGGCGAAGGGGTGGCGCTGCACCTAAGTCCAGACACAGTCACTGATGTGATTGAGGCTGTGGTTCAGAGTGTGAGCCTTACTTCAGAGCACAAGAAGGGGTTGAAGAGGAAAAGTTGGCTGTTAGAAGAACAGACTAGGAAAAAACAGAAGACAGTACCAGAGGAAGAAGAACAAGAAAACAATAAAAGGTAATTTCTTTCTGTCTTTTGTTTGTTTTTGGTAATTCCTTAAGGTATTATGGTCTATAGCAAGCCTGAAAGGTATTATAATCATTTTTTACAGAGTGAGAAATTAGAGAGATTGTATATGAGAGCCTAAATAGTTATTTTACCCATTATCTTTGATTAAGGCCTTCAAATATTATTTAGTAAATACTACTTCCAGTTAATTGCCTGTGGCCCTACTGAATTTTAAGGGAAGGGGAAACAACTTTTACAGCTTACTGTTTAAACAGTTAAGTGTCTGCTTGGGAATGTTCTAAAGTTGGATGCACCAAATAAATAAATGATATTATGGTCTGACCGGCCATCTAATTAATTAATTAATTAATCCCTCCCTTCTTCCTTCCAAGATTTATGTATTTATCATGTGTACAGTGTTCTGTCTGCATGTATGCCTGCAGGCCAGAAGAGGGCACCAAATCTCATTACACATGGTTGTAAGCCACCATGTGGTTGCTGGGAATTGAAATCAGGACCTCTAGAAGAACAGTCAGTGCTCTTAACCTCTGAGCCATCACTCCAGCCCCCCCCCCCAGTCTAATTTCTTGTTTATTTATCTTATGTGTATGCACATGCATATTATGCCAAGGGTAGGGCAACCCCAAGAACAATCTGTGAGGAGGTCTTGCAGGGAGCATCTTTTCTATTCCCCAACTCCAGCCAGCCTAAGTGTCTCCAAGCTATTATTATATCTGTATAACTTAATTTTGAGGCCTGCTTTTTACTCTATAAGAATGGTTTGGTGAAATACTCATGCATGCCAAGGATTCCAGGCTAAAGAACAATCTGGAGTTTTAATGTTAATCTGAGCTATACTAATAGTGAATTGTAGGCCACCCTAGGTTACATAATATAGCTAGCCAGCTAGAGCCTTAAAACACTAGGTGGCCAAAAAACTTTTACATAGTACAAAGTAAAAGGGATTGAGATTCAAAACAAAATGAACCTTTAGAAAATGAATTTAAGAGTCTGTTGTGATATTCAACCAAAAGAAATTTTTTTATTTTTTGAGATATTGTCTCACTTGTAGCCTTGGCTGGCCTGGAACTTAATGTATAGACCAGACTAGCTTTGACCTTGTAGAAAGGTTAGCCTGGTTCTCTCAAGTATGAGTATGTGCCACCATACCCAGCTTCAATCAATCAATCAGTCGATCAGTGTGACGCTATGTGTGTCTCTGTATGTTGTTGTTTTTGTTTCGTTTTGTTTTCTGCTCTACAGTTTTGATTTTGCTCAGACAGACTCTCATAGTAACTCCCTGTCCTTCCCTCACCCTAATCCCCTAAAAACTAACATCCTGCTTTTTTGTTTTGTGATTTTTGGCTACTCTAAGTACTGCCTATAAATGAAATCACTTAGTATTTGTTTTTTTTTTTTTTTTTTTTTTTTTTTTTTTTTTTTTTTTTGTGACTGGTTTATTTCACTGAATATAGTGTCCTCAAAGGGAATTGTATCAGAGCCTCCACAATACTCTCTTAGGTCTGTTAGCGTCTCAGCATGATCCAAAAAGCACTTATGTAGAGATCTTCCTGGACTAATTATCAAGAACCACCAAGCTTACTCAAAATATTTATCAAAGACCTCTCAGTGAATTTAATGACATCCTCGATTATAGGCATTTGCCTTCAGTTTTTGTAGTTGTTTTTTCTTTCTTTCTTTCTTTCTTTCTTTTTTTTTTTTTTTTTTTTTTTTTTTTCCTTCAAGATAGGGTTTCTCTGTAGCTTTGGCAGGTTTCAAACGCACAGAAATCTGCCTGACTGTGCCTCCTGAAGTTTTGGTGTTTTTGTTTGCTTGTTTTGTATTGTTCAGGTTGACTTTGACCTTGCTCTTATAGTCTAGACAGGCCTTGAATTCACCATCCTTTTTGTCTTAGCTTCCAGCATGAGTTTGCCTTTCTTTTTGTTTTTGGATGGTGGGTATTCACATATGCTAAGCACCTACTCTTCTTCTGAATAACAACCCCAACCCTGACATGTTGATTTCTTTTTTTTTTTTTTTTTATTGTGATAATAATTTGTATTCTCTTTTTTTTTATGCATATAGAGTATTTTTTATTTAATTTTATATAACAAAGTCCAATTAAATGAAAACAAACATTTATACACAATATTTGGGAATTTGGGCGTCGTTCTTTCCAAACTACTTCCTGCTGGTAAGGGGCGCTGTCTTGGGGGATTCGAAGAAGATTCAGATATCCTAGCTGTAGTCTGTAGGGCTGTTTTGTCCAGCTGTTTGGAATGTAGGATCAGCTTGTACTCTGTTTCAGGCGGTCTGGTGTGATCAAACCACATTAGTCTGGAAGGACTCCACATCTTTTCATTTTCTGTGGAAACAAAAATAGAAATACTTTTCCCCAGTAACTTGTTCTTCAACTTAAATTTTGGAGTCAAAGCGTTTTTTTTTTTTTATTATTATTATTATTTTACATGTCGATCCCAGTTCCCTCTCCCTCCCTCCCTCCCTCCCCCCAAGCCCTCCCTCCCTCCTTCCCTCCCTTTTGCCCTCTCTACCCTCTCCCATGCACTCTAAACACCCTCCCCTCCCAACCCCCCACCACAATACAATATGTAGGGGAATGCCATCCAGTTGGGGTCATGTAGATCTGACAGGTCCTGTGAAGTAGGGACTAGGGCTTCTCTCCTATCTCTAGAATAAGGCAGTTATCCCTCCATGGGGGATATGTTTGCAAAGTCTTTTTGTGCACCAGGGATACATCCTGGCTCCACTGTCTGAGGTCTCTTAGACTGCTCAGACCTTCTGGCTGAGACCCATATTCAGGGGGGTCCGAGTCAGACCCCTGTTGGCTTCCCAGCTATCAGTCTAGTGGCCCTTAGCTCCTCCTTGTTCAGGTAAGCTGTCTCTATGTACTTCTACCGCATGGTCTTGTCCTCTCCATCTGCTTCTGGGTTCTAGTTTGACTCAGTGTTTATGTATGGGTGTTTGCTCCTGTTTTCAACAGGCATTAGTTGAGGACTCCATGGAGAAGTTAGTTGTTGATCTCACTCTCCGGGAAGGGCATTTATGATAGCCTTTCCACGGAAGCTGAGATTGTTAGTTGGGAGCAGTCTTGTAGTTCCCTCGACCTTTCTTTGTGTTCAGCTTTATCTTCAAACCAATATTGGCTCCCTCTTTTATGTTCTCTCTCTCTGTCTCTGTCTCTCTCTCTCTTTCCTATTTTCCATTCCTAACCAGGCTCAATCCTCCTGGTCGCACATGCCTTCCTCTCCTCCCTCTCATTTTCTCCTACTTCTCTCTCCATTAGCTGTCCTCCCCCACTATACCTGAGGTCTGGGGGACTTGTCCCTTCCCAGTTCTGTGAGGGACTTTATATGAATCTCTTAGAATACAACTTGTATCCTAGTTCCTCTGGTGATGTGAATTATAGGCTGGTGATCATTTGATCTAGGTCTAAAATCCATATATGAGTGAGTACATACTGTGTTCCTCTTTTTGTGACTGGGTTACCTCATTCAGGATGGTTTCTTCAAGTGCCATCCACTTGCCTGCGAATTTCAAGATACCATTATTTTTTTCTGCAGAGTAGTATTCCATTGTGTAGATGTGCCACATCTTCATTAACCATTCTTCGATTGAAGGGCATCTAGGTTGCTTCCAGGTTCTTGCTATTACAAATAGTGCTGCTATGAACATAGTTGAACAGATGTCTTTGTTGCATTGATGTGAATCCTTTGGGTATATGCCTAAGAGGGGGGATTGCCGGGTCCTGTGGTAAACTAATTCCCATTTTCCTGAGGAACCGCCATACTGATCTCCAAAGTGGCTGTATGAGTGTGCACTCCCACCAGCAGTGGAGGAGTGTTCCACTTTCTCCACATCCTCTCCAACATAAGTCATCACTGGTGTTTCTAATTTTAGCCATTCTGGCAGGGGTAAGATGGTATCTCAAAGTTGTTTTGATTTGCATTTCCCTGATAGCTAAGGATGTGGAGCATTTTCTTAAGTGTCTTTCAGCCTTTTTGATTTCCTCCATTGAGAATTCTTTCTTCAGTTCTGTACCCCATTTTTTAATAGGGTTATTTGGTGTTTTGTTGACTAGTTTCTTGAGTTCTTTGTATATTTTGGAGATCAGCCCTTTGTCAGATATAGGATTAGTGAAAATCTTTTCCCAGTCAGTGGGCTGCCGTTTGGTCTTGTCAACTGTGTCCTTTGCCTTACAGAAGCTTCTAAGTTTGAAGAGGTCCCATTTATTAATTGTTTCTTTCAGTGTCTGTGCCCCTGGAGTTATGTTCAAGAAGCGGTCTCCTATACCAATTTGTTCAAGGGTACCTCCTACTTTCTCTTCTAAGAGGTTCAATGTGGCTGGATTGATGTTGAGGTCTTTGATCCATTTGGACTTGAGTTTTGTGCATGGCGACAGACATGGGTCTATCTGCAGTCTTCTACACACCCTCATCCAATTGTGCCAGCACCATTTGTTGAAGATGCTGTCTTTGCCCCATTGTATAATTTTAGCTGTTTTGTCGAAAATCAGGTGTTCATAGGTGCGTGGATTAATATCAGGATTTTCAATTCGATTCCATTGGTCTACCTGTCTATTTTTATGCCAATACCAGGCTGTTTTCAGAACTATAGCTCTGTAGTAGAGCTTAAAGTCAGGAATGGTGATGCCTCCTGATGTTCTTTTATTGTATAGGGTTGTTTTGGCTATCCTGGGTCTTTTGTTTTTCCATATAAAGTTGATTATTATCCTTTCAAGGTCGGTGAAGAATTGTGGTGGGATTTTAATGGGGATTGCATTGAATCTGTAGATTGCTTTTGGTAAGATTGCCATTTTTACTATGTTTATCCTACCTATCCAAGAGCATGGGAGGTCTTTCCATTTTCTGGTATCTTCTTTAATTTCTTTCTTTAGAGTCACAAAGTTCTTATTATATAGATCTTTTACTTGTTTGGTAAGCGTTACACCAAGATACTTTATGTTGCTTGTGGCTATTGTAAAGGGTGAT